TGGTTTCTGTTCTGCTGTCTGTCACGATGTCCAGGAAAAAAATCGCTAATGATTTTAATGTCTTTTCTATTCAGTAAGATGGAAGAGTGCCCTCAGCTTAGAGTTTTAGCATTAGCATGTGATGATGGCACTACGGTACCACATGCAGCAATGAAAATTGTGAAGCATTTATGTACTCTCAACTTTTTGATTTATCTTGTTTCTAGAGATATTTCTCTTAATGAGATTTATTACTCTTGTAATAGTCATTTCTTTCTGTCTTCATGTGAAAAGCTGTTAATAAGATTACATTGAGTAGACCTAATTATGCTAATTTTATTTAAAGCAAATGCAAATACTGCAGTTATTTGCTCCACCATAAAACACCAAAAACCATTTTTCATGCAAAGTCTGTCATCATTTCTAATATGTTTTGAGTTCAAAGGAAGGTCAGTGGAACGGGATTATTTATTATCTGTGATAGTGTAATTCATTGCATTGTTTTAGTTTAAGATAAACCATCTTTTGGAGAAAAATAAAGGATTATAGTAAGTGAAGTCTGAAGCAGAATTAAAGTAAATGGTTGGTTTGATGCACAGTTATGCACTGCATGCTTTGAAAATAAAGAAAATGAATTCTGAGAGAGGCTGCTGCTGTCTTGAATTTTCTGACACTTAAATTTGCTTTGAAAAAGTTGGAAATAGAGGTGTTCCTGAATCTTCATGTTTTCTTTTTGAATGTTTAACACATCAAGTATGAGTTCTGGGATGCAATGTATCTTATTAAATCTTTGCATTTCATCTGGCTCATGATAGCTCCCCCAGTGTCCTGTAGAGGAAGGTAAGAAAGGTTTCCTGTGTCCTTCCTGTGCCCCTCGCTACCCTCCTCCCTCCAGTACGACACTTTAAGAGAAAATGCGTAGAGTTAAGAAGAATGGTTCAAGTTCCATCTCTTTCAAGCCATCTGTTCTGGGTTTGATTTGTGTGTGTGTTGTTTTGCATTTTGTTTATTTTTGGAGATATGCATCATTTCCTCAGTGTAATTTTATCAAATTGCACGGGTGAGTTCTAGGCAAGGCCCAAGCCTGTGAATAGCACATCTAAGTCTTGTGGCAGTAACCACAATCTCTCAGATGTAGTGGCCCACGTATGTGTTTTGGGTTGACATTCTATCTAGTCAACAGACTGTGCTCATCTATGAGTTATTAAAGGGAGCTGGATTTTCTGCTCCCCAGCAATGTGCTGCTCAGTGGCTGGTCTCTGTTCAGCTCAGCGTGAGGGTGTGAGAAGTGGAGAGGATCTGTAGATTAATTGTCCTACACATAGATCAGTTAGTGTTTTAATTCTAAAGATAAATGTCTGTTGGGATCTAAAGGCCCAGCTGTTTTGTTTGAAAGAGAGTAGTAAGGATCAGTTTATTGGTGCAATATTGGTTGTGTGAGAGTTCAGAGGGCCGCAGCAGCTGGAATTCACAGACAGCGGCTGTCTCTTCAAACCCTGAGCTGGCTCCATAGGTGCTGTCGTCCTTTTTCCTGTTGATTATTGATTGACCCTGATGAATTTCCTTTTGTGACTATGCACCTTTTTCCCTTACTGCATGTGACTCTTCCAAGCGCATCCCTCCCCCAGGCTTTTCGAATGTAGCCAGTGACTGAGTTTTGTGCTGTGTTCTGTTAAACCGCAGTTCGGACGCGATGCACGATGTTGCAGAGTTTCATCTGTCCCCCCCGGGTGAACTAGAAGGCTCCCCACAGTCGTCCTTTTTTGCCCCCCTGCTGCTGAGGGCCCTATCACTGAGCACAGTGGTCAGGAGGGCTGAGGACAGCGGTCGGTCCCCAGCGTGTGGCACTCGTGTCTTGGGACAGGCTGCAGTGTCCCGGCAGCCTTGGCAGCTGCAGAGCTCCCCTGTGCTGAGTCCTGGGCCGCAGGAAGCTCTTTCTCTGCCCCGTCTGTATTCCCCAAAAAAAAGCCTGGGACCGGCAATCTGTGTCAGACCTGTGCTCTTCCCTCAGCTGCTCCGGGCTGTTTAGTTTTAAATGTTCAGGAGCGGTTTTCACCCTAGATTGCCAGCTTTACTGGGAGTTCTGTGGTCAAGTTTCATGGAGGTTAAAAATGCTAATATTCCTTACTGAAATACTTCAGGGAAAGCTCCCTACCTTTTAGGATTTAAGGTGAAGATCAAATGTAATTCCAAGCAGGATCCTGTATAAGAGGGATTAATCCTGTATTCAATATTAAAGGAAACAGCCCTCAAAGTTGCTGTTGAGCAAAAATTTTGAATTTGTACTTAAATAGTCCCCGCTCAATAAACCTTTTGAGTACGTGTTGGAATTTTAAGCATGTGCTTAACGGCTTTGCTGAATTGGGGCCTTCATTACCAAATTGCAGGTGTATGCTAGGCGAAGTATATTTAAAAAATATATATATATATAAAACAATGCTTATTTTGTTCTGTTCAGTGTGGTTTGTTGAGTTAGTGCATCAGAAATGCTGTAGTGTTGCTAACTTGTATGAAACTGGTTAATACAACTTATATCTTGGGTGAGGGATTTCGCTAGACCCATTGAAATAGGGTCTAGTTAAGACTTAGAATCAAGTTGATGAATGATTTTAAAAAAATGGACATGAGATTTCAACTTTTTGTGCTTTTCTGTTATATTCCAGTATAATGAGGCTTTTTATTTGTTTTTATGTTTAAAAGTGTGTTTCAATGTTGTTTTGTGAAGGCTCATGTGGATATTAGAGCATGTATTATACGTGTGCAATAGCTGGGGCTCTGTAAACATTTCCATAATAAACTTCTCTGTATGCTGTGGCTTAATAACTTGCCCATAAAAATGTGCTTTGGGCAGAAAAGTGGTGTACCAATCTACCTGAAAGCTTGGGCTTCATTTAAAAAGAAAAAAAAAATCAAAAGCTCTCTGTATGTTACAGAAACACTCAAATACAGCAAATGACATTTTAAATCTCAGAATTTTCCCAGCAGAACTTGTTGTCATTTTCCTCAATTGCACATTAAAAAAAAAAAAAAAAAATTAAGTTGCCTTCCATTGATCATTGCATACCTTAACCTTTCATACCCTTACAGTGTGTACTCTTAAAAAAAAAAAAAAAAAAAAAAAAAAACTCTGGATTACATTGTTTCATATTATTTATGAATAGTATATATGAATTACATTAATTCAATTTTGTCCTGGACTGCACCTCTGAAAGATGAGATGATTTATCAAATTCTGTGCATATTTAAGATCAATAGAAATGCTAATATAGTCAATTAATTTTATTTTTTTTTCAAATCTAAGAGACAGTCAGAAGAACAAGTCATCTGTACCTAAATCATTCCTGATAGATATATGACCTGTCCTTAAAATAGATAAATAAAAAGAACACACCTGAGGAGTCTTATCTACACAGACTAGTTCAAAGCTCAACTAGTCTCCCCAGTGTTCCTAATGTCAGAACTAAATCTGCCTTTTTGCATTTCAAGTCCATTGCTACTTGAACAGTTTATACATTTGTCGTAGGTAAAACATTACTTTCCTATTTTATGTAGCTATAAAAACTTTATACACCAGATTTTATGTTTGAGAAGTCATCTAACTTCTTTAGATTTCTTTTTCCTAGGCTATTTTTCCTAGACCAAGGGGTTTCACTGCTCCTCCGTTAAGCCTGTTTTGTCCATGTCTGGTCATTCTGGTTACCTTCTCTGGGACCTGGAGCCTCCTGTGATTTCACCCATTTTGTGATGAGTAACGTTTGCAGCCGGGCACGTGGCTCTGGGCCCTTGAAAAGGGAGCAGAAGGATTAAGCATGGGTCTGTCTGGGGATGTTCTTTCTTTGATGCCCACATCTCTAAAAGTCTGTGGTGTGTTTAACAACTCAACAGGTCTTTGGGGGACATTCCCTTATGTAAAATAGAGACCTGTAATGAAAAACAGGAGAAAAAGAGTCAAAAAAGTGCATTTTAATGTGCTATAAATGCTAGGAAATCTTTCTTTTGCTTAGCATTACTGTAGTAGCTGTCAAAGGAACCAAGAGCACTTGCTCTTCACTATGTATTTTCTGAGCAACACTAGTATCACTGGCCTAGAGTCAGTTGGCGTTCATGTGGGTGATTGTAAATGTGGAGGCCATGTAGGAAAAGTGCAATTTGATTCTCCTTTTTTGACCTTTGAATATACACACTCACACGGTCAGGTCCCCAGGACATTCTGGGTGCATCCTGGAATAAAAATACATAAATCTATTTTTTTTTTTTTTTTTTTTTTAAAGTTGTTCAATAGATTTATGTTTTCATATCGGTCTGATTTTTTATTATATTCAGTGTGTCTGTGTTATTTTACTGAAAAGTTTAATATCATGTGAAACACTTAGGAAATAGATTTTTAGTAGTATTTTTCACTGGAGGTTTCGCTGTGGCATTCTGTAGTTTTCTTTTGCCTTTGTTCTGATATAAAATGCCTGATTGATGCCTGAAACCTTCATCCCGCAAGGTTTGTGAAATCAAACAGGCAAGAAAATAAGGACAAAAGAAAAATAAGAAAAATAGAGTGGAAGAAATAGTGGAGTAACGTGAATGATACTTGCATATGCATTTTAGCTGTCATAATATTAAGACATTATTCCAGATAAGGCAAAATATAGAGTATATTTTGAGAAATAAAATGTGAAAATCTCAATTTCTAGAATGTTTTTCTCTTTCATGTTTTAGCTACATTATCAAGCAGTAAGAGAGAAGTAGCCTCTCTGAAGTAGTTGAATGAAATCTGAGGACGTAATTACAGCCATTACACTTCTATTTCTATTTTCTAACTTGTTTTCCATTCACGGTGTCGTTAACAGTGTTGACAATTTTCAGATTTGTTTTGCAGATGACTGTTAACCTGTTTGTATTTACCAGAGAGAACATGTTGCAATTTTCTTACCTGCTCTTTTTTGGTGGAGGAGGAAGGAAAAAGAAAGAAAGAAAAAAACCAAAGCAAGGGTAACTAAGTAACTCTCATTTTTCTGTTGTTTTCAAAGGGACATCAGAGATGGCTTCAGAAGAAAAAGCTTCTATCCTTCCCATTATATGCGAGAGCGATCCCCTCATAAGAGGGACTCTCCTTTCTTCAGGGAATCGCCCGGGAGCCGGAGGGATTCTCCGCACAGCCGATCTGGCTCCAGTGTCAGCAGCAGGAGCTACTCTCCTGAAAGAAGCAAAGTCTATCCTTTCCACCAGTCCCAGCATAGCAGAAGTATGTCATCTTTACATAAAAGAAATATTTCTTCTCAGCAAGGTAATGCTGGATTAATGATGAAAGTGGTTAGTGAGGTGAACCTGGCTGCCACTGTATAAGACCTTTCTCTTTACATATTCTCTTATACAGTGAGGGCAATAGATGTTTTTTCCAGTTCTGTTACCTGCTCTGTAGTCATTTCGTTGAACTCTCTGTTCCCTTATGTGTGTATCTGTGGAGACTTAGTGTGGCAGACTGCAGGTGTTATTTCAATAGCATCTGTACCCTGAGTGCACAGCTCTTTTCCAGTATAGTACGTTGTCTTTTTTTCTTATGTTTTCTCTCCAGTTCGTCTCAAATCTTGCTTTCTGCAAAGCAATGTAAAACATATCGCAGTATATTCTGCTTGTTATAAGCTTAGTTGTTAGGCTTTTCCAGAAAGCTAATGAACTATGTTACTGAAATGTTATGTTATTGAAAATACTTGACTCTTTTGTCTTCAATAACCTACAAAAACAAGCAAAAGTAGTTATTTTTTAAACATACTATAGTCTTGCCTTGCTGCTTCTAAAGCTTTTGTGAATTATTCTTACTAGACTTCCCTTTCTGCAAAAGCTTTCTGCAGAGTGACACAAAACTTCCATTTATCTTGACAGCATTTTTGGTCTTCTCAAGACAAATTGCTTCACAAGGCTTCACAAATCTTCTCAGATTTCCTAATTCCTTTTTTTTTTTTTTTCTGTTCATTGACACTTTATTTGTTTCTATGACAACATTGTTGGACTGTTAGGTAGCACCTTTTATATACATAAAAAAGAAACTTGTGGCATGTGTTAACGTTGCTTAATTATTGCTTAATTAGTGAGTAATTATTTCACTCGTTGTTGAAAGGCAAAGTATCTCTCTAGCTGAGGAATTTAAAAGATGTTCAGGTAAAGTTACAGGAGGATTATGGATATGCAGATCATAATTAGCAGGAACAGGAAAAGGTGCTGAGAAAAACTAGATAAAACTGTGGAATCCTTCAGCGATTCCTGCCACTTGGTGCAATTTCTGTTGCATTTGGTAGTGAAGTGGAGGCAGAGAACTTCACAAGCCAGAGAAGAGTCAAGAGGAAAGAAGGTAAGAAGAGGTGCTTAAAAAGTGTCACATCTGATTGTATAGTTAGAGTTGTGTGTGGTAGGTTCAAAAATAGTCTTATACACATTCAAAGTAAATGTTCTCCTAATAGTGCTCAAAATTAAATAGCAGGTTCTCTGCTTAATTTTGATTCATTTACTGCCATCTTTTTCATCTGGTTCCATCTATTCAAATAGAGCTGTATAATATACTCATCTGAAATCATGCATAGATAGTCTGGTGTGATGAAGGAGGTATGTGGAAGGCAGAGTTTGAGTAGTTTGGTGCATTTGAAAGGAGGTAGGATACATACACACACAGCGTTGGAAAGCAGGTACTGCAAAAGCAAAACTGCTGTGTTAGTGTTAGTGACGGCAGGGAGATACTCCCAGAATCACAGACTATGTGGCAAATTAAAGATGGGATTATTTTCATGTTCTTTTTTTCTGTTTGTGTCTGATATGTTGACTATGCAAAGCTTCACATTTTTTACAGCCTTCTTTGGTAATTTTTCATTGGACTATTGAAAAGCTTTTGTGGTTAAAGGCAACTCATAGTTTATCTTTGGTTTTGTGGCCACTAGAAATTCTTGAATGACTGCTTGTTTTTTTGTTTGTTTTTTGTTTACTATTTTTTTGAATAAGTTTTCTATTTGGTGTTTTTTTATCAAGGGTTATTAAAGTTTACTTTTGCCTGCTGCATTCAAATGTGCTGCTTTGCCAGATTCCGTCAGTGTAAAAGCAAAAATATATTTGTCTGTCATCTTCCCCTAAGTATTTTCAGTAGCATTGTTAAAAGAAGCATCAGTAGCTTCAGTGAGGATTTTGCAGTTGTTTAGGTGTTTAATAATCCTCTGGCAGAGCAGTAGAAAGAAGCATCAGTAGCTGTGAGGATTTTGCAGTTGTTTAGCTGTTTAATAATCCTCTGGCAGAGCAGTAACTCACTTGCCTCTGGCAGTGTGCAGAGGTGAGCAGTTTTTTGATCTTTGCTGTGCATTAATAGTCTGCCATAGACACACGATATCATGAAATATGAGTAAAAGGGAGAAGGCAAATTTTCAAATGTCTTTTAAACATTGTGTATATTTTGCATAGACTTATTTTCATAGGTAACCATATTTTTAAATATATACAATATAAAATGCAATCTTAATTTACAGCATGAAGTGTGTAAAGAAAATAGCTCATTTAGGAATGAGATGTCTTCTCTTTGTTACTTGGGCTCACTAAAGGAATGTCATGCTTGTTTATAATCCTATTATGATAATTTAGGTAAAAATTAAGTATTTAAGTATTTGATAGACTTGTTTTGAATTTATATTTCTTTAATTGAATGAATATAAATGTAATTGAGACCACAGTAAGTTTATGTCATCAGTTTTGGATTCGTGAGTAGTCAGGCGTTATCCAGTGAATGTGGTCGGTCTCATGAGTCAGGCCTAGTGGCTACAGATCTGCTTTTCTGTTTATCTTTGAGGTCCCTTGTAGGTAACCTGTGGGCCACAGTTTGGAAGCTGCTGCTGCCCGTTCTGCCCTGGGGGCTGCTGACACAGGGCAAAGGGTCTTCAGTGGCCGTGACGAGCAGGGAAACTTGGGTTGACATTTTGCTGATTTCCACACTTAATTCCAAAACAAAAAGACTGATAGTGCAAAGACCGTCTAGCTTGTTGATGTATCCCATCATATTTATATAATTTATAGGCTTGTATAATATTACATGTATATGTTATATTAATGTAATAAAAAAAATAGGAATTCTTCATTTCACTTTTTAGTAAGCTCACTCTAGAGGTATTACAAAGCAAATCTATATCATCCTGCCAAATTGTATTGACATGCCCTTTCTGTTAAATGCTGGAAAAAAAAATCCACATTGTAATAACATTGTTGCTTGTCACCAGATAGCTGGGGAGAATGGGAAGTAGTAGAGGTTTCCTGTCTGAATTAAGCGAATATCCCTGCAGTTTTTCCAAGCCAACAAATATATTTGCAAGATACATCTTTAATTTTGCTTTTTTTTTTTAATTTTAGGTAAAGAGAGGACTCAGTCACTGAAAACCTCAAGAGATGCATCACCATCAGGTTCAACAGCAGTGCCCTCCTCAAAGGTGAATTTTCTTTCTGGGCGCTCCTCCCGCCAGGGTTGCAGGTTGCTCCCTGCCACAGGCACAGGTGCCTTTGGAAGGACCTGCCGCTGCTCAAGGAAGGAGTGTCTGGAAATGTTCTGCAGCCCAACAGAGGGGTTTCTCCCAGCTCCTTATCTGGTGGGGAGATGCTGATAATGCTGTGGCTCTAAAGACACAGGCAAGCCTTTTACTCCATGACACTTATTTTAGGAGAAGGAGCATTTTGAATGTATTCCAAACAGATATTTTCCAAAATCTGGTATGATAGAGAAGAAATAAAATTGGGGAAACAAGTGTTAGGAGCAAGTGATCCTCACGACGTGCTTGCACTTGCTCCGAACTCTCTGCTGCTGGAGCTGTCACTGGGTTTGGCAACAGTGTCACCCCCACGAGTGTGGTGGAGGCTGTGGATGACGGGGAGGAGCAGGAATGGTGCCATTTCCTCGGGAGCAGAGGGCACTGCAGAACACTCTGGTAAATGCCATTTTTATATTCTGAGTGATGCTATTTAATTTCCCATCAAAAATCTTGTGGGCTAAGCACCAACTGCATAATTATGCTAATTCATTGAAGAGGCAGGCTAATAAACACTAATGAACAATCAGCATTCAGTATTGTTCTAGCAGTCCTGTGGCAATAAAAAGGTTTTCGCTTCACAGACTGCTTACCTTAAAATTATATTTGAGGTTAAAATGAACATTTCTGTGGCAGCGTTTACCCTGAATTTTTGAGAAATGCTTTAATGAGAAGTAGGGAAACAATGCAATATATTGTTCTAAGTGAATAAGGTCCCATAAAAAGCGGCATTCTCCCTACGTAGCATGGTGTACTAGCTTAGTTTTTGAGTTTTTTAAAGAAAAAAAATGTGAAATGCTTAAAGGCAAGATACTTGTAGGGAAGAAAGGTACTATTTTTGTGAAAAGGTGAGACTGAAGGAAATAATTAGCAGGAGAAAAAAAACAGGCTCTGGTTGTGCTGTGTGTTTGTCAGTGCTTCCTCCTTATGCAGCTGCAGCAGAAGTGCTGCGTGAGGCACTGGCTCGTTGCTCGTGTCCTGAAGGGGGGAGGCCTAAGGGTGCCATTTAGACAGGCTGAGTGAGATAAAAGCTGGTCTATGGCACAAGTTGCACTAATTTGGATTATATAATAAATTTTATAATTAGGCCACCTGTTTTCCTTGCAAACTTAGCATATTGCTGCTTAATACCAAATCCTTGCTTAATACAAATGTGTTGCAAAATGTTTTGCCTGGCATTAATATGCAGTAAAAGCTTGGACTGTCAAGTACTGTTAAAATGCTTTGCTTTCCTCCTCAGTCAGCTCTAATCCCTGCTATGCTGTTTTGTTGCTAGAGGTTTGCCTATATCCACTGGCAGAGGTGATGTAGGATGCACACAAATACAAACCTTGCTATTTGATTAAATTGTTTCCCCAGACAGAGCAAATCTTTGTCCAGCAAACAGAGCCCTGGAACAGGCTGCCCAGAGAGGCTGTGGAGTCTCCTTCTCTGGAGATCTTCCAAACCCGCCTGGATGCCACCCTGTGCCACGTGCTCTGGGTGTCCCTGCTGGAGCAGGGGGTTGGACTGGGTGATCTCTAGAGGTCCCTTCCAACCTCAACCACTCTGTGAGTCTGTGAAACATCAGCTGCAGAAATGAACTATGCACATCCTGCAGTGCTGTTTTGTCACTTGTTTCTGTAAGTCCACCTGTACCATCTGTCAGTGGGGCCTCCTGGAGGGATGGCTGGATTCCTCTAGCCAGTTAAGTCAAACAAGTGTTTCTGTGGACTAGAAATATCAACAACAAAAGTTTGAATGGAGCTTGATAAACATTTCTAGGGTCAGGTTCTTGCAATTTAATTAAACTTGATGAATGAGCTGGATGCTTTTACTTTATAGCTTAGATGTAATAGTGTTCACCGCTCGAAGTTATAATTTACCTTTGAAATAATTGTTAAGGTTTGTGCTTCTGCAGCAATATCTCTTTTCAGTGTAGCTACTGTATGCAAATCTCAAAGGTATTTTATCTGTGCCTTTTAATTATTTTTTTTACATATTCATGCATGTGAATTAATACATGTTGGTGTTATCTGATCTTAAGCATCTGTTTAGTTAACTGCTGCATGAAATCTTTTGTGTTTTTCTTTAATAGCTGTCTGGACTACAAGCCTTGGAGGCTGTATCCAACATAATTAAAGCAAAAGGTAGATGTGTGAGACAGGGAAATCTTCCCAGCAAAGATATCAGTAAGCTGACAGGTTATTGCTGTTGTTATATTATGCATAAGAAAGATGGGGGGGCGTGGGGAGAAAAAAGCAAACACCTTAAACACCTTTTTTTTCTTTTTTCACAGGCTTTGTGTGTTTGGGGTTTTCTGTTTTGTTTCTTTTTTGTTTAAAAAGAAAAAAGAAGGTTATTCTAAGCGGTGCATTGTTGGTACTTTAAGCTTCAGCAGTTGAAAAGTATGCAGATATTTTTCTCTGAGAAACATTTTCACCTTCCTTTAATTTTCCTGCCATCCTGTGAAAACACCATTATTTTGTTACATAAAGTGCAATCAAGATTTTTTTAAAAAGTGTATAGACCTGTAGATTTAATTTAATAAGATTAAGTAAATCAAATTCTCTTTGCTCTGTTCCAGTAGATATTTGAGTGGTTAGTTTCCACAGGCCATAGCTTGTGGAAATATTTAAAGTCATGTGAGATTTTGTTTATCTTCATCTCATGCAAAGCTGACTATCAGTGACAAAGATACCGGTCTTTTCTTTTTGTTAGTATTGGCCAAAGGTGCCTTTGAGGAAAGGGAGGAGTGTATAATGGAACCATAATACAAGATTTTTTGGCAGCAACAAAAGAGTCAGGATTGAGGTAAAAGTGAGGCATCCTTTGGGGGAAAAATACGTGTGGGGCAGAAGGGGGGACTTGGCAGCTGATAGTTGGTGAAGAGGGTAGGAATAATCATGTAGCTGGGAAAGGTGAATTATATTATGCTACATTATGAATTATATCACCCTTTCTCTTAGCAACCCTATTAGTACCCTGTCTGCATATCAAAATTCTCTGAGTCCGTGTTGCTTGCTGACTTTTTTAATTTCGTACTTTATAATTCTGTAATATATAATTATAGAGAAAAGGGATTCTTCCCTGAGATAACGACATGACACTGAATCCCAAGGGGTTCCCTGCGGGCCGGTCCAGAGGTGGGTTCTGTCGTTGTGCCTACACCGCAGCACAGGGTGGGCACAGGAGACTTGACCCGAGGGAACAGCAGCGGGGCTGAGGATGAAGCATCTCACTGCAGGTCGCAGTATTTGCTTCCTTTGCCTGCTGGTCTGGCTTCGAATGAGCTGGTAGTAACTGGTTCATGATGTTTGGTTCTGTGTTGGTTAAGGAGCTAGAAAACAGCCATTGGGTGGGGATCATGGCAGCCTTGCAGGCAGCAGGATTTTGTGTGTCTGTCTTGGATCCATCTTAGCGCTGCTGTTTTGAATGTTACAGTTGTGCTGATTCTTGAATGGATACTTTTATATATACAGTTGTACAATTAAAGCATCCACTTGTTGCAAATGAGATTCATAAAGTTAGCTATTCCTAAATTGGTTTTGGTATGTGGGCATTTGTCGCTATGTATTTGTTGCTGTATTAGTAGAAGCTGCATCGTATTCTTAAAGGGAAATCATTTTTTAAATACTATTTATGTGACCATTTCTGTTTGAAAAGGTAGATCAAAAGGCTATAAATCCAGAACTGATTTTACTATAAATGATCAACATTTATTCCAAGTAAACATTAGCAATTTTTAATAGACATGTGTCTGATCATTTAAGATTTTTATAGTTACTTTATAAATACGGGTAGAGTTCTTTCTGTCCCTAGTTGGCTTAGGTTGTACTGCGTACTTACTGTCCCAGCCTCTTGTCCCTGCAAACTGAGTTAAATTTTCAAATCAGTCCCCACTTATTTCCCACTTCTCGTTAGCTCCCATTTGATCCGTGTCTCTTTAAATTCAGTAAAAATATCAGACTCTTTTTACTGTTCTGTTTACTCTGTGAACTTAGTGACATTGACAGTGAAAGTAGTATTTTTTAAACCAATGAATGTCAATAAGACTTTTTCTTTTTTCTATTTTTTTAACAAATTGATTAACGAATAAGATATCTTCAGATTGGTTTTCTTTTAAAATGTTTTGTGATCTGACTTTCTAACTTTTGAAGGTGCATTTCCACGTGTAAAGGTGTTCCATGTTAAACCTTTGCTGTAATGCTTTTGTGCAGGCCTTGGACAAGACCCACAGACTGTCAGAAAAGGAGCTCGCAGAAGCTGCAAGCAAATGGGCAGCCGAGAAGGCGGAGAAGGCCGACGAAGGCAACTTCCCGGAGATCCCGGAGTATGAGGTAAGGCAGGAGTGTGCACAGGCTGCCTCTAAAATACTGCAACAACAGACTCTCTTGTTTTCTCTGCGCTCTTCCAAAAGTCACAGTTTGCAATTTACCCCTGAATTTGCATGTCTGTGCTATTAAGTATTTTTTGAAAGGAAGAAAGAGGGAGACTAAAGCCTTGTGTTTTGTGATGTTGTTGTTGTTGTTACTTTTTTATTACAAAACACAGTAGGTTTTGTTGGTACGGCTTGAATTCATTTTGAGCTACAACTGACAAAACAAGGCTCCAGCCCCACAGGGCTTCTCCAGGGAACTCTTGTGCTGGTGTAAGGCTGCCAGCCTGCTGAGCTTCCTAAAATCAGCAAGGGACTTCTGAGTTAGTGTGAGTGTACATTGAAAACATACAACTGGAAGGAAAACTCTGCCTCTCTGAGTTCAATTCCCTGCCCTGGCAGCCTGCTGTGTCACATATTCTTTCCAGAGAGCGGTACTCTTCCATCTTAAAAATTAGATTTTTATTTATGCTACTGTAGTTAGATTTTTTCAGAATTGCTATTTATTTATTTATTCTCCCATTAACACTTAACATTAAACTGTCAGTTTATACCCATCTGTTCTCATCCCTCCTTGGAGTCTACCCTTTACTCTGTTATAGCCTGTATCAGCCTTCATTTTTTTTTTGCTGCCCTTAAGCAGTTTTTTTGTTTGTTTGTTTGTCTGATTTTGCTGCACTGGGAGAAGACGTATTTGTTGTTGCTGTCCTGTCTGATAGGATTACCTTTACTGATGTGCTAGTAGAGTAGGCTCTGCAAGCGTGTGTTAATGCACCTCAGGGAAAGTTAAGTGGTCTAGATTGAACACTTCAAATTGATTTTTCTGAACTAACCCATTGGATTTATTGCTGAAGTAAGTTGGCAAGTGTTCATGCAGCTAGATTGGTAAGGGGTTACCAAACCTCTTGCTTTTCAGTTCAAATGTGGATCTTGTGGCAATGCAAATAATAGAGGTAGTCAGTAGCCTGAATCCCTGGCTGTAGGAGGACAGAGGTGACTGGGGCTGCTCATGTGTATATGTCTAGGTGTTCCCCATTACTTAGATGTTGTTGAGTGCCACTCCAGAAAAGAATGAGCTTCTGAGAGAACCCTGGTTATCTTATGCCTCTAAATAGTTTTCCTTTCTCTCATGAACGTGTATTAATGTGCCTTGAGGCTTTGAGCCAAAGACTGACTCGTGGAGTTGTCAAAAGTTGACCCACTCAGGCTGGTAAGATTGGTAGGCAGTAGTTTCTGGCAAAGATGGTAGCAAGTCCTTAATAAAGATGGCATTTTTAGCTAGCCCTTCTTCCCCCAGTAGGAAACTCTGTCACTGGGAAATGTCATTTAGTACACAGCAAATGTTGTGCAGTGTGTGTTTTGTTGGTAGTCCACATTAATCCTGCAGGCATTTTAATTGTCCTTCTCTTCAGTTTGAGATTCTGTCTTAAAGGAAGACGCGTATAATGTTGGTAGTCCTGAGATTTCTTTCACAGCATTAGGAAACCTCTACGTGGGCATTTGCTTTTGCTATTTGGTCTATAACTGTATCACATTGGTTAGCCTGTGGGTCTGAATGTTGCCTGAGCTCTTTTGGTGGCCTTCTAGTTTTGTCATTTTTAATTATATGTGATTTTAATTACTTTTTCCCAGAAAGTTAATCCCACTATTATTTTAGATTTATTGCTTGTTGGTGTTGCAAATATCACATATTCAAGTCCTTTACAAAGAAAGAGCAGGTAAAGGTTGTTCGATGACATTCTCCTTCCACAATTAAAAGACTGACTCCCATTTTTTCATGATGTCACCTTATCTGTGGATTCTAAATCCCTTACGTGTAGTTGCTGCATGGTAACAGTAGATTTCCCTAATAGTCTCGATGAGCAAAGCTGCATCTAATTGAATAACCATACTTAGTGCTTTTATTTTCTTCTGCGATCTTGAGGTCTTTGTTTTTTTTCCAAAACCATGAAAAATCTTTTTCTTTTAAGGCTGGGTCTTCGGCTCCATTATACGTTGAACGAACAGAGGAAACAGAAACAAATATAACGGATAGTACAGAGGGATATGAGGATGGGCACCTTCTTGGCCGTTCAAAAGCAATTGCAACCAAGACCAAGGAGATTGAGCAGGTGAGTCCTCAAGGCTTTTTGGCACTGATGTGTAATGTTTTGCTATGCTCTGTGTTTCTGCTGCTAGAAATATGATGGTATCTTCCTTTTTCCTCTCCTTGGAGCGTAATATTAATGTAATCGAATCTCTCGAGATAGCATGATGATTGCATCTTATCCTATTTAATACTTTATATTGATGAAGAAGCATGAAATTCTTCCATAAGCAAGAACTAATGGTAACATATGTGCCCTGTTTATTTATTTTTCAATCCAAGAAAATGACCGTTTCTTTGAATAATTGTTTCAATTTCAGCCATACCACAAATATTTGAAATACACTTAAAATGTGGTTTTATGTGAGATCAAATGAATTTACTTTTACATTGTAATGCTCTTAAATTGAATACTTAAAATATGGAGCTGAGCTCTTAAAATTGAGAACTTATAGATTTTGCTTTGATTGCAACATTTTATATTTGGATGAGAGTAGGATATTGTCCAATGTATCACATTATTGTGTTCAGAAATGTTCTATTCTGTTCCTTCTTGAGTGCTTTCAGATTTATTTAATGTGAACTGAGATTTCTGGTGCTCTTCTGCATAAATTTGAGCCTTTGAGGAAGTTCCGTGGAAATTTATTCATCTATCAATTAGTCCTCAATATCACGACTGCAGGTTAAGGAAAATATCTACAGTTACCTACTGGTTTTCATGCATCAACCATGACACGATTGTGTTTTATTTCCATGTCCTTCTGAAATGGAGGTTTTTGGAGTAAAGTCCTCTGCCTTCACTTTTTTGAGACTACTTTGTCCAAATCTGGAGTCTTGCATTGAATATTTATGTTTGAGTGGGAGAGGTGACTTTATTCCAACTTGATCTGCTTTCAAATGCTGACAGCATGTGCCTATGATAGGTTGAAAGGAAGTGCAGATCACTTATCCTCCTCATAGCTTTCTGATTTCAAGAGAAATAGCTCCCTGGTCTTGTCCTGGATAATCCTTGGAAGCACATTTGGGGGCTCCATTTTCATCCTTAATTCTAGTGGCCTTCATTGCATCACCTGCAGGCCCCTTTCTTGTGCTCTGTCACAGTTCCTTTTCCCTAACACTTTAAAGTCAAATTCCTGCTCAGTTGTTTTTGTTTCAATTTTTTAATAATGATTTTGTGTAATTATGTGTGTTTCCTGCTTTTCATACTGTAACTACTGGGGTCATGGTGTAATTTCTGGGTTGTGTCTGGCAACCAGTTTGTACAGGGAATCAGCTACTGCCAAATAGATAATTTTGTGACTGTTTAAAGCTGACAGACTGAAAATATTCAAGAATAGGGGCAGATCTTGAGAAAATAGCAATTGTGGTCATTTTGCTGATAAATGTGTGATGAACTTATTTCTGGGAAAGGTCTGCTCCCGAGTCCTAGGGATAGGCTTGTAGTCAAGACTGATGAAAACTTGGGCTTAGTAACATTAAATCATCTCGTAAAGGACATTTGTCTCTATCAGTTGTAGAGTTGGCACTTATCCCTAAAGAGATATAGCTTATGCTCTGCAAAACAGAAAACTTTTAGGAGCTTATCTCAGAATAGCCTGAGGAGTAATTTAAAGATTTTGATTTCGTAGAACCAGTTTCTCTTATTGTTGATTTGAATATTGAAGCTTTCAGCTTCCACAAATTAAAATAAGATTTTTTAGAATGATACGCATATACGCATTTTCCATACATTTTAGTCAAGCAACTAAAGAAAAGTCAAAATCCTTCTATCTATCTATTTAGAGAGAGAGAGAGAAAGAGATTCTTGATTTAACCAATTAAATTAATACTGTCAGATGACCTAGAAATTTTTCAGGTAGATGATTAAAAGTAATTAATTGCTACTTCAGCAAAGTATTTTGTTCCAGAAAAAAATAATATGATGATATAAATGTTTTTCATGATCGTTTTGTAAACTTCATGAAAACTCGCCATATTTCACATTTTTTTTTTGTAGTTGTCAGGATATAGAAGTAAATTTTGTTTAATTATGTGTGATTTGAATGCTCCAGCCAGCCTGGTGCACATGGGAAAGGGGGCCTTGTGCAACAGGGTATTATTTCTTTTAAGCAACAAGCAAACAGAAACGCTTAGCTCATTGAGTGTGATATTCATACGGGTGTTTTTTTTCCGTAACTCAATCTCTGTCTCTTATTTATCGCTCATGTTTTGGTTCTTTTGTGGTCTGTCCGTCCTTTAAGTTGCAATGACACAGTTGCCAAATGTAGTCTTGAAATGTAACATGGTCTTAAATGGTTCAATTGGTCATTGACCATATATGGTGAATATAATATATATATAATATATATATATATGCATGCACACACATAATACCTCACTGTGACTGTTCCCGCCGCATCCCTGCTCTCCAGAAGATCCCTCTTTCCGCAGGTTCCCCCTCGCTCTCCTGTGCCCGCCGTGGGCTGCAGGTCCCAGCTCCTGCTGCCATCCCCTCCCTAATGCCTGGTTTTCTGTAGGACCTGGACCTTACTGGCAGCTTTTGATGCTCTTTGTGTGAATGGTCAGAATTGCAGAACGCTTTTTGAGAACAGAGAGAGTGAAGTGATTGACTCTTGGGTGTCAGTGGGAGCCTGGCACTTGCTAGTGTCTTTAAAAATAACCTTCCCTCCTGCTTCCACACAGGACATGGAAATATGTTACAAGTCCCCTCAGGGTGAGGGGCAGCGCCGCTGAGGCTCATGTGGGAAAGGCTGGTCTAGGTGCTTGAAGCTGGGGTAGCAGAGAGAGGGCCCAGGAGGCCTGTGAACGGTGATGTGCTGCGGGCGCTGTTATCTAGTTTCATGCATTTATATGTTTTTGATCTAGCAGCGTGCAATATGAATATATTGTTTTGGAGTGGTTTTGGTTTTATGTAGTTAAGGATCAGCTTATGCTTTTAGCGCATAATGTGCTGTTTTTTTTTTTTCTTTGTGGTGTGATGATAATTACGTGCCCGGTGTTACGTTCCCAGTTGGAGCAGTTGGCTGTCAGTGCTGCACAAAAGGGTATCTCTGTGTTTTTCCTTGTGGGCACGAGGGGCAGGCGTTCTCGAGGTGCGCTCCGAGGAGCGCGCTGCTTATCTTGTCTAGACATCAGGGCTGCTGCGCCGCGTTGGCTACAGCACATCACGGTGTGCCCAGCGCCCCAAGTGTTGCGTGTGCAAGTTCCAGGGACATAAGTTACCTCCCAAAATCTATTATTTTCTGAAGTGTAATTTCCTGAAATAAGCCATGTACTTTCCTTGATTTTGGCCAAAAAAAAAAAAAAAAAATCAAACTTCTCGATTAAACTCCTTCCAGAGCTCTGGAGTTGAAGAAGGAAATACAGGATATTTTTGTCTTTTTTCCTTTTTTGTCCTTTTTTTTTTGTTTATTTGTTTTGAGTGTTACTGCTTACCACTAGGCCTGGTTGATTACTGCTGACTGGATGTTTTCGGTGGAATGATATTTTAAAAGGTCAAGCAGAATAATATTTCAGAATGTTCAAACAGCTAGATTAATTGCTTGTTTACTTGTCCTTGTTTGCTAACTTGTCTTTTCCTTTTTTTACTGGAAGATGCTGAAAACCAGGCTTTTCAAAGTTTGCATTTGAAAGTTCACAGATATGGTGCGTGGAAAGCAGGTAAAAGGATGTGTGTCTGGGTCAGGAGACTGTCCATTTTCTACTCCCAGATCTACTGTGCAATTCTCCCATCGTTACAGGCCGCTTACTGGCAACTCTGGCCCCAAAGTTATAGCTAAGTGAGTAAACCAGCAAAGTTTTAGCAGTTATAGGGAATAATGTTTCAGAAGAATTGTGCCTTGTTTGCATGTGCTTTGTCGAATTTCTTTTTCTGATAAGATTTATGTGGCAATAGCTGAATTACCAGTAGGTGTGTTTGGCACTTTTTAATGGGACTCTGATTGCTGGAGATGCTGTTCTGACAGAACAAAAAGGCTGATAGTTCAGAGTGAAACTCCTCATTGCTGATCTTTGTTTAAGAAAATCTTGTTTTCAATAGCACACCAGGAAAGCAACATACAGGGATTCCTGTCATGATAAATGGTTGTATTTTCTGTAGCGCACAGAAATGTCCTCTCAAGCCCTGTCCTTCACTAGTCTCAGAACGAAGAAGGTGGTTAGGAGGTGTTTATGGTCACGGTGTCTGAGCGTACATTGACAGCACTCATTCTTCTTCTGCTTTCTTATATCAGACCCAATCCTGGAAATACGTGCACTGAGCAGCCATTTTACAGCTAGTGCTTATAGGATAGCGTCCTTAGATTTTTTTTTCTTTCTTTCTTTAGAGGTTCTTTTCTCTTCTATTTGCATAAAACCTACAGCAAGATGTTGCTACCTCTGTGGTATTTACTTCATCATGCCTTGGGAGCAATGAAGCCGTTGACAACTGCTGAAGATGTAGGGTATTAGATACAAAACATATTTTTCAGCCTCCCGGAATGTAAGTATCTTAAATCTAGGACTTCTGATTTCTATTTTTAGTGTTACGTGGTCTGAGAGGAAAAGAAATTATCCACAGTTTGTGCTGTTGATAGTCAATGTGGACTCCAGAGATTGCAGGGGAGTGGAAATGAAGAAGGCAGACGGGTTGGAAGTACTGAGGGTGTCTTTCAGAAACTGGAGGAGAACCATCACTGGGAAAGAAAATCCCTGATTGATCAGAAAGGGATGAAAGGATGAGGAAGAGGATTCAGTTGTACAGTTGACGTTAGCAACATCTACGGAGAAGGAAGACGTAAATGGGAGGTATCTTCCAGATCTTGGACAAGAATAAGCTACTGATAAACCTTGGTAAGTTAGATATATAGTTATAGTAAAATAAAGAAATAAATCTCACCAACAGGAATCTGCGTGTGCTGTGGCTCCTTTCAGTCAAAATTATCTAGACTAGGAGGAAACAGCCTAATGAAAATATGAGTTAAGAGGTGAGTAAGTTGAAAGGGACTGGAGCAGTAGCTAGAGAGCGCGTTAAAGGTTAGTTCTGAT